AGGGGGGTCTCCCAGAGCTGGCAGAGGGCAGGATCCCCTCCCTGCCCTGCTGCCCACAACCCTGGCTCTGGGCTGCAGGGCACACAGGGCAGGCACAGCCCCCACCCTGCTTGCAGAGCTGTAACCTGCCCTCCCCGACATGGGCTCGGGGCAGCTCCTCCCCGAGGATGCAGCACAAGCCCAGCTTGCAAGTGACAAAAGCTTCAGAAAAAGCTTTTGGACTCTGCCCCTCCTGTGGCACAGCCAGCAGCTCTGGACAAGGGCTGCCAGGGGCTTCCCAGGGGTATGAGCCAGCAGAACAACATCCAGGATGCCACAAGGTCTCCTGTCCAGTGCTCAGGGTCCTTGGCTGCTCAGCCCTCTGCTCTCAGGCGTTGGTCTCAGCACAGCACTGCTCCAACCCAATTTTATGGCTGCTTTCAAAGCAGTTCATGCCTCAAATAACAAGTCTTCCCCAGGAACCAGGGCTGCAGCAGAGCCACAGGAGATGCCCACGCTCAGGGGAGCTGGGAAAGCAAACACAGAGGAAAAAGCCACAACAGGGCAAGCTGTGCTGCAGAGCTGGTTGCCTCTGACCCCTGGGCTTGTTGTGTGCACTCCTCTGGACACTGACTGTCTCCCAAGCTTAGAAAGAGTTGCTTGCAAGAAATAATATTGATTTTAACACACAAATACTTGTTCCCATGAACATTCATCACCGCGGAGAATCCAGAGGAGATTTATCAAGCTTGTGGTTGCTGGATCTTTTGTTACTGTTGGAAAACAAAACAGCTTCTCCATCCAAGGTGACCACTGTCTGGAGACACACCATCCAGGCTCTGCCAGCTTCTCACCACGCTCCAGGTTTGGCTGCTGGTGCCCTCCAGAGCTGAGCCCCCCCTGAGCGAGGGGCAGGAGCCGACGCAGCGCTGCCCTGGGCCCTGCTCCTCCTTCAAAGGCAGCACCCCAAGCTTCAGAGCTCCCTCCTCACTGCTGCACCCCCAGATGTGCTCCCCAAGGGCTGGCACGGTCCTCCAGCTGGCAGAGCCCCAGGGACAGGCACTCTGGGTGCTGCTTTCCATCAGGGTGTTTGCACACAGTTGGATCTGAAACTCTTCCTGCTCTCCTCCTTCCAGACTAGATGCCCAGGTGCTGCCAGGCAGGTGGGCACCAGTGAAGCCACAGAGCCCAGCATGACACCCCCAGTGCCAGGCTGTGCCAAGGACAGCCCTGCTGCTCTGCCTGCAGCCCAGCCACACCGTCCTGCATGGCTGTGGCCAAAGCTTGCATCACCACAGGAACCCCACACACTTCACCTGCTCCCCCCCCGGGCATGGGGCAGAGCTCTTGCCTGTGCTGCAGGGGAAAGCTTCACACCCTAGCTGTTTATTCTACCCACAAACAGCCCATCCTCCTGGCTCTTGTTTCCTCAACAGTGCAGCCAAGTGTCTTAATGAAGCAAATTTCTTAGGATAATCAGCATCTTCTCCCAACAAAGGGAACAGGCTCTGCACCCCCCCCACTTCAAACCCAGCCAGGGCACGTTGGTCTCAGGACACCCCATCAGAGCACAGGCAGGAACCCCCTCCCTGCCCTCCCCTCATGCCCATTTTCCTACTGAACTTTCTAGTCCAAGGGCAGAGCACAGCTGGAAAACAAAGCCAGTCTTGTTCTCCACCTTGGTAGTGCCTAATGCCAAGGGTTCATGGAGAAAGGGCACAGGATGGAAGAAGTCCAGAGGGCACCAGAGGGCCTGAAGCCCTTTGCTGCCAGGCTCACTGGTTGGAAGGAGGGGAAAAACAACATCAAATTTCATAGGTCTTCACTGAAGACATAGAACAAACAAGCTCATTATTTCAAGTACAGAATCATAGTGGTGAGAAGAGACCTTTAAGATCAACGAGTCCAACCCTTCCCCCAGCACTGCCAGGTCCTCACTGACCCGTGTCCCTCACACCACAGCTCACAGGGAGCAGGGATCAAGTGCCAGACAGGCTCCCAGCCACGACCAACGCCTGGCCAGAGTCATCTGAATCCAACAGGTCACCCAGGAAACAGGAGAGAGGTCCAAGAGCCATGTCACTGAGCACCTGCTTTGGGCCAACCTAAACCAGGACCTCAAAGCATCGCTGGAGCTGCTGTCCCTCCCGTGGAAACACCCAGCTATTCAGCTTCTCCTGCCCAGAAAGGCCACTCCCCTGGGCTTCTCTGGGCACAACCAAGGTGTGTGTCACTCTGAGGAGCCACCAAAGCCAGCCAACAGGGTGGCCTCCTCCCTGAGAGGAGCCACCCCACGCTGAGCAGGTCCTCACCAGCTCGTCTCACAGAACCCTGAGCTCTTTTTTTTGCCTGACCATGAGATAGGAGAGCCTTTAAAATTTCCATTTAGGGAGAATAAGATCTGACAAAACCATGGCAAACCTCTTCCCTAGCCAAGTCTAGGCCACCTCACCCACAAACCCTGCAGGCCAGCAGCAACATCTGCTACAGAGAATCCACCACTCCCCTGGCACACTGCAAGGTCTCACAGCTAGCAGCATCCACCTCTGTAGGTGTAGTTGGGCAAACCCAACCTGAAGCCATAGACCCCTTCCAACCTAAATCTTGGAGGTCCCTTCCAACCTAAATGATTCTATGATTCTATCAGAGGACTTGAGAGCCCTAATGGCTCAATGGTTGATGATCTTGGAGGTCCCTTCCAACCTAAATGATTCTATGATTCTATCAGAGGACTTGAGAGCCCTAATGGCTCAATGGTTGATGATCTTGGAGGTCCCTTCCACCCTAAATGATTCTATGATTCTACCAGAGGACTTGAGAGCCTTAATGGCTCAATGGTTGATGATCTTGGAGGTCCCTTCCAACCTAAATGATTCTATTCTATGATTCTATGACCTTCCTGTTGCCAGAATCCTTCCACACAGCAGCTTGCAGACCACCACGAGGTCTTTAATGACCATTTCTGCATCTCAGGGAAACTAAACAGACAGATCATCCTCAGTCCTGAGCAGAGCTGCACCAGTGTGACACAAGTGCCTCGTGTCAGTGCAAGGAGTCACCTCCCAGGAGAGGAGCTGCACCTTCATGGAGACACCACTGCCACTGTGCCCACTGCTCTGCCAGCTGCCACCACCAGCATGGTCACAGCTACAAGATTCAAGCTCCAGTCCCTCACAAGAAGGACCAGGTGGACACCAGCAGAAAGCTGAGCACACACCACGTGCCTCCCATGGAGGAGGAGCACTTGAGGGTCCAACCTCAGCCAAAAAAACAGATAGAAATTGATACTGGTGGCCAAAATGAGGTGTGAAAGTGGGAATTCAGCCCATAAATTCAGACAGCAGAGGCCCTGGTACATCAGGATAAAATGCTGCTGTGCTGCAGGTGAAGGTTTGTTCAGCAGAACTTTACTCCAACTCCTGACCAAGCTGTCCTGATGCCAGCTCACCAAAACCTTCCACCACGACATGAGGAGTTCCACCTCTCCCCAGGAGAGCTCCACCAGCCTGTGGGCAGCCAGGCAGGGAACTTCTGCCCTGGGTACAGCCCCTGTCTGGGGTAGGAGACCATCCAGCCTCCCAAAAACTGCTCTCAGTGGAAAACAAACCCACCACCCTTCTTGGCCAGGGGAAATTTTACCCACATGAAGCATTTCCTTGGTTTTATTTCATTTCTTTCTTTCCTGAAGCTGAAGCTGTGGCACAGGCTGAGCTTGGGGGACTCTGGCTTGGACACCAGTGTCTGATGAGCCATGAGGAACCAAGGAGGCTGTGCTCCATTTACAGCAGGGCTCCTTCTCCCACTGCCCCAGCTTCCAGTGCTTTCCAGGAAAAGCACCACAGTAAATGACAGCTCTTTACAGCAGGAAATGCCTTTTTAATCTGAAACAGAAACTTGTATATACTTATTTAACTCTCCTACAGATAACATTAGCCATTTGGGAGCCTTATAAGGAGCCATCATTTTGCCTGGATAGTTTGTCATTTGTATTAGGGACTTTTAGATACAGACTCAATTCCAATGGAAACCAAACAAAACCCCCAAGACCCCCAAGACTTGAGCTTTGCTTTGAAATATTCTAAAGAAATGAACTTGGCAGGACCTGTTCACTGAGTAGATGTTTAGGAAAGCAATAGGTGGATGTCAATGAAGGGGGAGGCTTTGCCCAAGGGGGATTTCAAACCCAGGGCTACTCTTGTTGATAAAAACTCCTTGATAAAAAGTTGATAAGGTTGAAGGATCTTCAGTGTGAGGGTGGCAGAGCCTGGAGCTGCCCACAGAGGCTGTGGAGTCTCCTGCTCTGGAGAGATCCCAAACCCACCTGGATGTGACCCTGGGCACCCTGCTGTGGGTGAGCTGCTGGAGCAGGGGGGTTGGAGGAGATGATTCCAACCCCACCATGCTGGGATTCCATGTGATCCAACCCAGCTCACAGCAGGGAGATGTGAGCCTGGAACTTGTACGTGCAAGGCAGGAGTGAAACTCTACACATACACATGAACTGAGCCCATTTTTTTTAGATCAGTGACCTAAAACCAGTAAAATTATTTGTAAAAGAAGTGCAGCACCATCACAGAAACCTCTGGCATGCACCAAGAACTGAGCCTAGGGGCACATCTGCTCCAGGGTCAGCTGCAAGCTCTACAGGAGAGCCAAGCAAAGCAGAGAGAGGAGGAGGACCTACCTGTTCACAGAGAGCAGCAGCTGGTCCATGCATGCTTTGATCTTGTTTTGTGCTTCTAGGTGGGTCATGTTCTCTGTGCTCTCTCCATTAATTGTCAGAATAACATCTCCTGGGCACAGGTTGGCCATGGCTGCTTTACTGCCAGGGTTAATCTAGGCAGGGAGGAATGAAAAGGGTTGTTTAAAAGCATGCTCAGTTTTAAAAAGTCCAGTTTTCTTGGAATAAGCAGCAGATAAAGGGAACAGTTATCTCTGGAGAGGATGTGTTCTGCCTGCAGCAACAGCATCTGCCAGAGGTTGGATGTCAGAGCCAGGGCTCGTGGGTCAGCCCCAGTTCTCTGAGGACCAACCTCTACAACAAAGCTCTTTTAAACAAGAGATTTCTGTCAACCCCACTCAGGGCGTGCCCAGGTTCTCTCCTCAGCTTTTCCTCCTGCTTGCACTGATGCAATACTCCCTCTCCAGAGATGCTTTGGCTTGCAGGCCAGACTCAACCCCTGAAGAGCACATGAAAGGCCCCTCTTTGGCCAGCTATGGAACTGGAAGATGAGCACAGCCACTTCAACAGCCTCCTGGGGAGAGGTCACACTTGACATCAGCTTTTCCTCCCCGTCCTTCAGATGACTTGTCTCCTTCTCCCCCTCCATGGAATATCACACAGCTCGTTAAAACCTCCACAAACCTTTCCTTCTGGTTTTGTAGGGATGCCAGAACCTTACAGAACTCATAACTTCTGTCCTCAGGAACTAATAACAGGTCCAGGTACCATTTGTGGTCAGCTGTAAGCCCAGCCCTGCAGCCCATAAAAGACTTTCTTGGGAAATAACTGTTTCATTTACATCAGCCCAAACGTGGTTTTAATTTTCACAATAAAATGAGGCAAGGCACAGGCAGGAGAAGTAAATGTGTCTGTTTAAACTCTTAATAGCTAAGTGCTCACCCTCTAATTTCCTCTTCAGTCATTCAGAGCATCCACTAACCAACCACATGGTTCATCAAGTGAGAAGATCCAGCAAGTCCAGCCTCTGGTTATTCTCCTCTCACTTTGTTTAGGGTAGGAGGGTGCTTTGAATCTGTTTAGTCTTGATTTACACAGGTCCAAATCCCCCATCTCAGCTCCATCCACAGACCCAAGCCACAGGATCACTGCCCTGTCCCATCTCCCCTTGGATGCAGCTGAGGTCAGTGCAGGGTGGCAACCAGAGGCTAAGAAACCAGGTGTGGTTTTTCAGACCACTTGAGACCAAGTGGTGGCCACGTGCTCCACGGTGCCCACAAGCCCCCAACCACCACAGGCCATCATTAAACATGAGGCTTTTAGGAAGCTCCCTGCTTGCACCTTTCTCCAGTTCTATTTTCAGAGGGTGACAGAATTTCAGGATGGGAAGAGGACTCAGTCTTGGCACCAAAGCCCTTTGTGGATGGTGGTGGGGCTGCTCACAGGACCCAGGCTGGTGGAGCAGCCACGGGAGGGACCTGACACCCCATGGACCTCCTGCACCTCTCCCCATGGGACCACAGCAACAGGAACCTGATGGCCTTTGAGGAGCTGCAAACCCCTTCTTGCATTTAAGTAGAACTGGCAGCCTGAAGTAAAGCTTTTGTTGCCTTGTCAGAGTAAATCAGCATTTGCCATTTGCTCTTCAATGGTTTCAGCTGGGCTGTTTTGCTCTAAAAAACCTGCTGGGCCAACTCCTCCTCCCCTGTGACTCAGCTCAGAGCAAACAACAGGAGGGACTTCTGAGCACAGCACACGTTAGCTGGAAAGCTCTGACAAAGGGCAGGTTTATTTTTCCCTTGGCATTCACCTTTCCTGTGGGGTTTTTCACACCCCTGTAAGCAGCCATGGCATTCACAGACCATTAGTGTCCTTCTACAGCCACAGAACCACCAGAAGCTCAAGCAGCACCTCCAAGGAACCTTCTCCATGCACTTGCTTGTTGTTCTCCAGGTCCCTCAGTGTCCACCCACAGCCCTGGCTGCCACCAGGCTTTTGGACTCTCAGACCTTCAGCCTGACCCAGGACAGCTGCAGTTTGTTCTTGTCTATTCAATCCTCTCTAGATGTCCAACAGATTTTTCTCCCTGTGCTGATCTTAGCCAGATTGTGGCTTCCTTGGAGGACAAGCTGTTCATAAATGGGGCTCTTAGCTGTTTCCTATTTTTAGACTCTGGTTTATTTCAAATTATTTTGGCAGTATCCTCATATTAGCATTTTATGCTAGCTGTGGAGATGGCCCAGGGCTGGAAATGGAGCTGTGCTCCAAGAACTCATTAGTTTGAGATACAGCATCAGTGTCACAGCAGCCTGAGAACCAGTGTCATGTCCATCAAGCCCAAAGTCTGTGTTTTAGTGAATAATGTTTAAAATACTACTTCTCCTTGCACAGCCTGTGCCTCCTGCAGGGATTCACTCCAGTAGGAAGCCAAAATGTTTGGGGGTTTTTTCTCCCTTTTCTAAACAGCACATGTCCCTCATCCCCTCAGGACAAGTTCAACCTGTGACATCTTTGTACACCCTCCAACTCCAGTAGGAAGCCAAAATGTTTGGGGGTTTTTCTCCCTTTTCTAAACAGCACATGTCCCTCATCCCCTCAGGACAAGTTCAACCTGTGACATCTTTGTACACCCTCCATAGATCACTCTGCTTCAAAAAATACTGCAGGGCCAATATTGGAGCTCTGACTGTCCTCTGCCTCCTCCATCCCTGCAGGGGGTTGGTCAGCATGCTGCCAGCATCACCCCCACACCAAGGACAACGAGGGGGACGTGACCCACAGGCTGCAGTGCTGGGCCAGCACCCCACAGCTCCATATCTCCTGCTGCCAAGTCATCGAGGTGAAGCCAGGCAGGGGTTGGTTCAAGGAACCACTGACAGGACAAGAGGAAATGGCCTCAAGTTGTGCCAGGAGAAGTTTAGGTTGGACACGAGGAACAGTTTCTTCCCTGTGAGGGTTGCCCAGGGCTGTGCCAGGCTGCCCAGGGCAGTGGTGGAGTCCCCACCCCTGGAGGGGTTTCCAAGCTGTGGAGATGTGGGGTGAGGGACACGGGGCAGTGGGGACCTGGCAGTGCTGGGGGATGGTTGGACTCAATCTTAAAGGTCTCTTCCAACCTAAAATGATTCTATGATCAACCAGTGGTTTGTAATTGTGCAGATATAGTTCAATTTTTTTAAATCAGTTTTTCCAATTATTTCCTGCACCACCTCTCCCAAGATTCCCAACCACATCTCTCTTCCAAGCCTCCAGCAGACCCATCCCCAGCTGAGTGGACACTCCAATGCTATGGAACAGGCTGGAAAACCCCTCTGCCAGCAGCCACTATCTTATCTGGCCCCTGGAGCCTCGTTAGGATTTACTGAGTGCTAGCATTTGACATCAGGCCAACAAAACAGAGCCCATGGAGGCCACTGCTGCACCAAGCCAGCTGGGTTGGAAAGGGAGCAATCTCACTCAGGAAATCCAAGAGCCTGTGCACTGAGTTTACTCCTGAAACACAGAGTGTGACACGTTCCTCCCAGAGATCACACACTGAAGTGTGGCTGTGAGACAGAGCAAGTGCAGTCTCTGGGGACAAGGCTCCCCCATGTCCATCCCACCGCCCAGAGGCCACACCGCTGCTCAAGCCATCCCTAGAGTTGGCCAACACCACGAGCTGAAACCATCCACACTGCAGGGAAAGGCTGATCTGTTGTATTAACTAAACCCAGGTTTGGTTTTTTAGGTTTGTTTTTTTTTTTTTTAAACTTTTTCCCAGAAACCTGCCCCTGTCACATCACCTGGGTCAGCACCCAAGGAGGAGGGACGTGGTTCCTCCTCCCTGCATGCACAGGTCTCTGGGAGATGAACTCCCAGCTAGTTTTCACTCCAGTTAACAAAAGGTACCTACTCAGGGCAATCACACCTACACAACAAAGGCAGTTTTCTCTCTCCCAAATCTTCACTTTTTCAGAAAAGCACTGCTGTGACAAACCCCACCCCCCCGGAGCATCTCCCCAGCATGCGACGGGTTAAAAGGTGCTCCCTGCACACACAGGTCTCTGGGAGATGAACTCCATTCTCCAGCTAGTTTTCACTCCAGTTAACAAAAGGTACCTACTCAGGGCAATCACACCTACACAACAAAGGCAGTTTTCTCTCTCCCAAATCTTCACTTTTTCAGAAAAGCACTGCTGTGACAAACCCCACCCCCCCGGAGCATCTCCCCAGCATGCGACGGGTTAAAAGGTGCAATCCCACCCAAGCCCACACCACTCTTCTCCTGAATCAACTGTGGTTTGTTACAGGCAAGCCTGAGGACATTTTCTGGAGAGGCTTTCAAGGTAGTGGGACAAAATTCTCAGCTTTTCCCCAAAGGCTTTAAAACGACACTTTAAAACGGGGAAGAATCGGGAGATAAATGACTCACTAATGAAGATTAATTCCCCTAAACCTTTAAGGATCCTTTCCAGGGCTTCTCCTCAGCTTTTCAAAGCATTATGTCTTGAACCAACATATATTCCTCACCAATCCACTTGCATTTTTCTGATTGCTCACACAGAGCCCAATGTATTGGGGCATTACTCAGGGATGCTGCACTGTTCGTGCAACGGGCATGAACTGCTGAAGAAAACAAGCAGCTTAAGAGCATAAAAGGGAAAGAACCAGAGTGTGAGTGTTATAAAAGGCAATGCACTTGAAAATCCTTTTGAATCCAAGCACTGATGGATCCAGATCCAAATTTAGACTGAGGTTTGTAACGTGGATCCCAATCCAGCTCAAAGGCTGAAGTCTTTCCAGCGGAAGGGCTGAGAATCAATGAAATCACATGAATCTTAGAGCAAGTGCAAACCTCAAAATGCTGATGGAGAAAGACAGAGGTCATTTGGACACTCATCTCTGGCCACAGGCTTGCCTTGCTCAGCCCAAGGGCACCCAGAACTCCCACAGCACCCAGAGCAGGAGCCAAGCTGCCCATGACACTCGTGGTCACCAGGAGCCCTCCTACCCCTTCCTCCAAAGACAAATTCCAGATACTTTACTAGACAGAATGACCCACTCTTCACCACTGCTGTGCTCAACTCTGCTCTGC